TTTATTGTTATACTCACAAGTACAATCTATCTATGTAGTTGTCTTACTTCTTCGTTAGATTGTTTGGTTGACTCTGCACCATAGACCTTGGTCTGCTCGCTAAGTCAAGTTTGTTGTATCCTTTTCTTAATAAACAACGTTATGATTAAAAAAAGCTGCAACGGCATTCAGTATGTTAAGACATGTGACTTGGAGCAGGAAAAGCATTTCAATCAAGTCGAGACTAAAAGTGTTTCATGCCTGTGTTCTCCGTGTCTTATTGTATGGAAGTGAAACGTGGTCTATCACAAGTGCACATGAACGTAGAATAAACACCTTTTATATGAAATGCCTACGTACAGTCATCGATGTGAATTTAGACGATAGAATACCAAATGAAAAAATCTTAGAAATCACGGGATGCCACCAATTGACAACATCTTACATAGAAACAGACTTCGGTAGTTTGGGCATGCCAACAGAATGATGAACAGAAATAACGAACCATCAGTTGTGCAAAAAATGACATTTTCATACTTCCCACAAGAGAAACGCCCTCGAAACGCGGAATAGAATTAATAGAAATACCCAGAGCAGACTAATTCACCCTAACATCAAGACATTATTTTTGAGTATAAACAATTTTGCAGTACAACCAAGGGGGAAATAGCGGACTCCTGGACTCCTATGACCATGGATTCCTTTACTTCAGGAGTCCACGGGAGTCCAGGAGTCCGCTATTTCCCCCTTGAGTACAACGCAGAGGAACTGAGTTAGCGACAGCACAGAGAGTAGCGAAGAAAAAGGTAACAGAATTGTTAGTTAAGAACAGCAGTGGTAAATATCAATGTCCTGGTTGTGGAAAAATCTTTATGCCTCAAGGAATTACAATACATGCTAAAGCGTGTGCTAAGCATTGGTACAAAAAGAACAATATTAAATGAACAAAATAATATGATGGTAAACACCTATTGGAATTTGACTTTGTGAGAATGATGGGTATCACTTAAACTGATTATAGAGGGTGGTATCTTGATAATTAACTTAGTTCAATTTTCGTTTCAATAGAAACGAACACTACTTTCGTCAAATTGAACACTCTTTCCTTTTTTGTGTTATTTTTCCCGATGTTTTTTTTTCTCACCCTACACCAGAAATGGTAGCGGGTCTAACTAACTAACTAATATTTCCAGAGTTCGATCCTCGATATTAATATATACATTTTAGCTTTTTTTTCTTCGTATAATATCATCGTAAACGATCATGTCAAAATACGATGATGTAATTTTTCTCTCCTGATTACTTCATCGTATTTCGCCGTAAACAGTGTTGTAAATTGATGTATACTGCGGTATTTGTCATGGTATACTGCAGTTAACGATCGTAATTGTAGGCTGTGGGAAAACAGAAAGAAAGAACGACAGCTTGAGCGTCAAATGGGCCAAGAAAACATGGAAAATCTTGTATCAATCCTCAGTTCTCTTCCTCAAATAATCTACCGTACCAAATGCTGTAAAAGACAAGAAATTTATGCATCCAGTGAAAAGCAGCGTAGTGATTCTTAACTTGCATTTCTAGACCCATTGGACTGCCTTTCGATATGGGGAGAACATATAACAAAACAATAACTGCCAATTGGCTTGCAATGAACGAACTGACTTCTCTGCGGCAATACATCATGGACGAGTCAATTCGTTCATAGCACGCCACATGTGACACCGTACGTTTCGACAGCTAATATCGTCGGACATCTCGCGCAATCGTCGTCATCATCTCTCTCCTACGGTAAACGAACACTCACTCGGTATTCTACTATGTCCATATGTATCTGTCGCTGAGCAAGTCGAACAGCCTATATATCATCTACAGAAGCTGATGCATTTCTCCGACCGCCTTCTATTGTCTTGTATTCATTTTTACATCGCAATCAAGTCTCTACCATATTATTTTAAGTTGAATGCAAAAATAAATGTACAATAATCACTGAAAGTTCTTAAACAAAATCAAAGTTCAACAAACAATAAAAAACCTTTTCTATGTTCAAACCATATAATCATTTTGAGATAAATAAGTTCGACCGAGTAAAGCGAAACATTCTTAACTCACGCCAATACTTCCAGAGTAAGGGCCACTCCACCCCTCAGTCTCACCCTCCAGATGGACAAATGTCCAGCAGGTAAGTGGAATTTTACCCGCATCATCGGCCATCTCTTAGGTACAGGCGCGCATCACCAACATTAAAGCCTATTTTATTGAAAAAAGTTTGAAGACACTTGTTGAACTGAGCATTGATCTGTCTGATCGATTGGAAATCGTCAATTGGATTTCATATGATTTGGATTTTAATCGATTGTCAGGATTTCAAGCGATTTGAGGAAAAATCTTATTAAAAGTCGAATAGTCGGTTATAATCGATTGGAAATCTATCAATCCGATTTCGGACGATTCAGATTTCAATCGATTTCAGATAAAAATCCGATCAAAAGTCGAAAATCGATTGTAATCAGTAAAAAACGATTTTTTTCAATCGATTTATAGATTAATTAATCTGATTAGTGATAAAAAAATGATATTTTGTAGCAAAAAATCGGACAAAGTCTCCGATAATCAAAAATAATCGTGATTTCTGCCGGAATATTTTTCACTAGGTATGTCCCACGACTTGATCAAGATCTACATCAACATTCGAAGGTGATTTCACATCGATGAAATGATGAATGGGTTCGTTTCATCTACTTTTGAAGATCCCACATAACAATAAGCGGGAACGATCGACGAATATGATCTCATCGTCACGAGTCAGTCCGGTGGCACTGTTGGCGGTCTCTCTGTCTATTCAAAAGCTTTGAGTTTTTGAGGGATGTTGAAACATTTATGTTTTGATTGAATTTGTTTTTCTATCCAACTCTTAACCCTCGGTTACCGTCCTCATTTTATAACTTCAACAGTGTCCTGGGGTCCGCGTGGACCCATCACATAAAATTGCAAAAAGTGATGAATTTGCTCTACGTAAAGTATATATTTGTATACTATAGATTTCCAAATACTCATCTTCCTAGAGGCTTATTTATCGCTTCTTATAAAGGCAATATAAGAACGCACGATACGAAGAAAAGGATCGTCTCATACTAGTTTCATAACATAATGGAAGTCCAAGTAAAAAATCATACATCCAATACATTTAGTCTGTGGTACAAATACTCTATGTTAGCACATACAGTTGTCTATGAATAAGAAAAGGAGATATTAGTTATTATGATGTTTAGTTTTATCTTCTTCTTTTGTATATGACTAACAAAGTTTAAAACAAATATCTCTACTATGTGGATCAAGTTGTCATTATTTGATAGTTTTCGAGAAATTTTTAGTTCTTCTTTTCACATATTCGACAAGTTATCACTGTAATGCTGCTGGAATGCGAAAGACAAACATTTTGTCCACAATTATCACAGATTTGTCGAATTTTTTCGTCCAGGTTTTGCAGGACACAAGTAACATCTTCGTTTTATTCGATTTGTATGAGCATTAACATTAAGATCTTTTACGATTCCCGAAGGAACTTGATATCCAAGAGATAATAAAGCCAATTTGACCTTCGGCATCAGTCGAGATTCTTGACTACGACGTTGATTTTGTGGAACAGTCAAATCTGTGCTCAATTGTGATAAAAATATACGACGAGTATTAGATTTTCTTTGATTCCATTCTGGATATTGAGATAACCACAGAGTCATACTACTGATTGCAGCTAAGTCAATCATGTTATAAAAGACAATTAGCGGCCATCGTCGACTAATTCTTTGAACAGAATACGTTCCAACACATTGATCAATAACGTCCACACCGTATTTCGACTGATTGTAATCGTGAATAAGGCATGGTAATTCTTTGTCATCATCGAAAGTTTCAGCACATTTATAAAATGAAGATAAAAGTATTATTGGCTTTTTTTTTCTTTTGCTTGATATGAAACAAACATGTGTGAATTTGAAAAATAAAACCATGATGAAAATAGTTTTTTTCGACAAACTTTAAGTTCATTCGGCAAAAAAACACGTCGATAATCAACTACACCAATAGAAGTCATCTTCCGGTCTAGCAAAGCCTCCGATAATTTGATATCCGTAAAATAACGATCAAATGTAATGGTACGGCCTTGTTTAACATCATTCGATAATCGATCAACTAAACGAAGAACAACATTACTCGCTAGATTTTTTTGGATTATATTATCTTTTTTTCCAGTATATAAATCAATTGATAATACATATCGACTACCCACATCACATAATAGCCAAAACTTTAACCCGTATTTAGCAGGCTTGTTTGGCATATATTGTACGAAACAACAACGACCTCGAAAAGCAACTAGTTGTTCATCAACTGTTAAATTTTCACCTGGTACAAAATGTCGAGGAAGTTGTTTGATAAACAGTTCAAATATATATCTGATGGATGACAAACGATCGGTTTTATCACGATTTTGTCGATCATCAAATCGCAGAAATTGAAGAAATTGCCTAAAACGTTGAAGAGACATTGTACCTCGATACAATGGAGAGCTCTGACTAATGTCCCACAAATCATTGAGAGATTCATGATTATTTCTATGTAAACCAGCTCGAATTACTAATCCGATAAATGATTCTAATTCAACACGATCAATCGGTTTCCATTTACTTGACTTGCTTTCTATTGTATTAGAATCTGTTTTTGATCTTTTATTTTGATCAAAATACTGTTCTGCATAACGATTCGTTTGGATAACAATTTCGTCGAGAATTTCATTTGTGAAGAAAAGTTTAAATGCATCCAAAATCGTTTGAACCTTGGTAATTGGACCTAGCTTTTTTTTAATAATATTGACAGCGGGTATTCGACCTTTTGCCGGTTTAGCATGAATTGACCATATAATACCTGCTTTTTCTAATGTTTCTGGTTGATCATCTGTGTAAACATCACATTGATCATCATCATCCGAATTTGATTTATTAGATTCTTCTGATATATGTTCATTTGTAGATGTATCATCTGATTCAGCAGGCAGGCACAAAATCAGAATCATTATCTGAATCAGAATTTTCACCAGCAACGTGATCATCCTCAATTGTATCGGATAGCAAGGGATCTCTAATTCGTTTTAAGTTTGATCTGTACGTATTATTCATGCTATAAAAAGAGAGAGGTGTACAAATGTACATTTGCAGATTTATTGAGTCTTCAGAGTGTTTCGAGACGCTTACCTGACTGAATCGAACCCCCAAAAATAAATTAACACAGAGTTCTAGTTTTTATCAAAAAACAGTGAAAATTTAATAATTTACAAAGAAAATATGAGTCACTATTATCAGAGATAGGGATGTTCGGTTCTCGTTAAGAACCGGAACCGCGGTTCTGTAGACGGTTCCTTTTTTTCGGAACCGAGACTTTTTTAACTATAGATACTACAGTTTTATTTCGAGAAAGCTATATTTAGCGTAGGTATACCTGTGTGCAACTTCTTTTACATGAGATCTTCTATACCTGGCAAACCCATCGATACTTCTTAGATAAGAGATAAAGCTAATATTATTATGTCGTGATACTGGCCATAACGGCACGAAAAAATCCTTTCTCAAGATTTCATTTCGTTTTTGACATATTGCATTTTTCGTACATCTATGGGATTTCGTCTAAAATGACCCCCTAGAAAGTCCAGTTTAAGCCAGTAGCTTCTCTTCTTCTGGCAGACATAGTAAGGAGATATTTACTTTTACCACGTTTTGTTAAAAAGTATGATAAAGTAATCATGATTCAACAAAGATAGAGATGTGTTATTCGAGAAAATGAGTGAACTGTTAACTTAATAGCTTGTCTGGTCTTAAAACTGTTAAGAACCGACGATAGAAAAGTACAGCATCGAAAGAAAAAGAACAACTGTGAACGGACGATCAAATTTGTATTTCTTTATGAAGTGCAAAAACGACGGCGAAACAATAATTCGTTCTTTTCTCTTCTGCCTTATCTTTTTGTCTTGCCTTTCTTATAATAAAATGAAAACACACTATTGACAAAGCTGCAAAAAGATATATTTGCCTGCCATCATTTAAAAGAATCCTTTCGTTTACTATAAAATGAATCTTATTTCGTTGAATTGTTAGTGCTTGAAAAATTCTTTTTCGGCTCTAAGCTGAGAACCGAGAACCGCGGTTCTGTTCTAAGTCGGGAACCGGAACCGCAGTTCTTTTCGGTTCGGTTCTAACTCGAGAACCGAGAACCGAACATCCCTAATCAGAGATGAATGTGCGAACGAATCACAAAATATTTAATTTGAAAATAAATCGATATGCAATAGATGGCGGGTATAGAAAAGCGAAAAATTACATCTAAACCAACATTGGTGTCCTGGGGTCCACGTGGACCCATATTCGTGTTTTTTCCCTCTTAGATCTATTCATGGTTTTTTATCAGGATATTGTACATCTATCAAAGCCTAGAGATTACAGAAAACAAATGGCTCGAAACAGTAAATAGTTATATAGTGCGAGGCGAAAACCTGTAAAGTGGGTCCAAGCGGACCCCACAACACTAACCGAGGGTTAAGGGGGCCGGTTGAATTTTTCGAGAAAAAAGGCGTTTAATTGTTCGGCACGTACCCAGAAGGCAGGGTAGGTACCGGTTGGGAAACGGTAAAGCGCTTCGGTCTGGCCGGACTGGCTTCAGCCCTGTCGTGACGATCCAGTGAGATCTAAGAAAATACTTCAGCAGTTGAGCCAGTGGTATTCTATATGACAGGACACTAGTCAGAGTTTCTTCCGAATTTGATTGAGTGTGTTGCGAAAGGTCTTCATATTAGGATGGTTAGGTTCCAGTGTGTGGCGGGCGATATCGACAGCACGCTCGCAGTGCTCAACAGCCACTTGGAATTCATGGAGACCTTCCAATGCACTTGCCATGTTGTTATAAATAATAGCCAGATCAAGATGATTAGGAGGGCGAGATTTTTCCAAGATTTCAAGTGTTTTTTTAAAGAACGAAAGTGCACTCGAGTAGTCTCCCATCTTTTGATGGATGAAACCGGTAGCGTTGTAGATGGTAACTAGTGATGAATGACTGGAAGAGAGAGATTTCTCTTCAATTTCAGTTGCCTTTTCATAGAAGGAGAGTGCAGCTGAGTAGCCTCCCATTTCTTCATGGGCTCTCCCGATGTTGCTATAGGTGCGAGCCAGATCAGGATGGTTAGGAGGGAGAGATTTTTCGAAGATTTCAAGTGTCTTTTCATAAAATGACAGTGCACTCAAGTAGTCTTTCATCTCTCGATGGAGTTCACCGATGTTGTTGTAAGTCGTAGCCAGTGATGGATGATTGAGAGGAAGAGATTTCTTTTGAATGTCAAGTGCCTTTTGATAGAACGAGAGTGAATTCGAGTAGTTTTTCAACTCTTGATGGACGAAACCAAGGTTGCTGTAGGTGGTACTCAGTTCAGGATGATTGAGCGGGAGAGATTTTTGTTGAATTTCAAGTGCCTTTTGATAGAACGAGAGTGCACTCGAGTGGTTTCCCATCTGTTGATAGACTAAGCCGATATTGCCATAGGCGGCAGCCAGATCAGGATGATTGAGAGGAAGGGATTTCTCTCGAATTTTAATTGTTTTTTGATAGAACGAGAGTGCATTCGAGTAGTCTTCCATCTCTCGATGGAGTTCACCGATGTTATTGTAAGTCGTAGCCAGTGATGGATGATTGAGAGGGAGAAGTTTTTCGAAGATTTCAGCTGCCTTTTGATAGAATGAGAGCGCAGTCGAGTAGTCACCCATTTCACGATGAACTGCACCGATATTGTTGTAGATGGCAGGCAGAGATAGATCATCGGGCGGAAGAGATTTTTCGAAGATTTCTGCTGTCTTTTGATAAAATGAGAGTGCCCTCGAATAGTAACCCTTCTCGTCATTAATGTATCCAAGCTGATGGTGAACGTAGGCTACGTCCTCCGGATCGTTGTCAACTGTTGAATCTAGTAGTGTTTTATAGACTTCTTCAGCATGATCAAGCTCGCCTATTCTTATCAGCAAGTGGCCCAGTTGGTGCCATCCTGTTCCCCCTCCGATTTCTTCTCGAATGTACTTGGTGAGACGCATCAGCTGTTCATCGTTGTCTCCTGTCGGTGTCAACTCCACTTGCCAGAATCGATCCTCGATTTGTTTTGTCTCCCCGATGCGGAAAACGGTGTGCATTGAGAAGAGAATTTCCTTCTCTTGATCCGAAAAGGAACTGATCTTGTCTAACGAGGCAAATGGAGTCGAGACAAGCTCGGGCTTAACGTTTATTCGAAATAGAATACCAATTAGATTAGGGTCATCCTTTGCACTCATCGCAAATGCAGATGAGACTGCTTCATCATCACTTGTTGACAGGAAATTATTGAACGACAATAGACCACCTTTGCTGTTGATCATCTTCTGAAAGTCGCCGTTCAACATACCTTGTCCTCGAAAGATGGTCATTGATCGTCGATTATCCGTTGATTCCGCATGGAGATGTTTGATTTGTTGATGGAGATCTCGCAAGAAGAACCTCATCTTAATGATAATTACAGTGTCTTGTGTTCTCAAAGCTCGATTAAGCATCTCGTAGATGAACGGCTCTTTTGTATACCACCAGATTGCCGAATTAACGTCATAGTCTTGTTCGAATTTATTAATCACTTGCAACTTTTTCTCGTTATCAGAATATTGAAGGCGGCAGAATTCGACGAACTGCTTCTTCGTCTTGTCATCATTCTCTTCGAGCTCAAGTATGATTTCTTTGAGCAGTTGTGAGTACATGAATGATTGGTCGAGTCGATCCAAGTCAGGATTTGAAGCATTGTTCGACGAAAGAATACTGATCGAGGAAAGATCTTTGTCACGCTGCTGACTGTCTCGTTTGAGTGAGTCACACAGATGTTCAATCTGAGTGAACACTCCCTTGACTTTGCTCCACGCTTTTGTCCACAAATTATGTTCCGCCTTGTTGCCACAGAAGACGTAGATGCCATCGACCTGATCGATTTGTTGGACGAGTGGCACGATCTGTTGGCCAAGATCACCCGACACAATCATGTAGACTATTTTGTCTTTGTTGTTGGTGAGAAAGACCATACAACTGTCAGCATCAGTGAATGTGTGAATGGAATTTACGATGCGTTGAAGATGAGTGATCGAATCTCGATACTCGACAACAGATTCATTTATGTTTGCATCTAGCCAGATTACGACGAAAGTCTGGATATTGCATTGACGTGTGTCTCGTGTCTCGTTGGTGGTTATTCCTTGAGTTGTAGCGCTTCTTCTCGGAGAGAAGTTTTTCTCTGTACTGTCTCTTTGTTCGGATGATGAGTTGGCGGGAGTGATTTTTGAGTTTTTACAGCCCATGCTTCTGTCAGATGAACTGCATAAGGCATTCTACAAAAGAGAATACATTGGTCAATCGCATGAATCCTATCATGCCTCTGCAGAAGAAAAGGAAAATTACAGGTAGTCACGTTTTAGTCGTTGTCCGTTTCCGTAAAAGTGTCCCTATTATCGTACTCCATCCAATGATCACGTATGAAAATGTCAATAATTACTAAGTAGCCAATAAGTGAATGACATGCATGAACAACATATCGTTGGAATGAGACACGTCGATTATCGTGTCCTGATGTTGCTCAACTTTCTGTGTAGGCTTATATAAGGTACAGGCAATTCAAATTTTAAGTAAAAGTTTTCGTCACATGGTTTGATAGAGTGTGAGCGGTTGATCAAACTAGTTCTTAGTGTTAATGGACGTTGTCTTCAGGTCGAAAAAAGTCAAAAATTTGGAAGGCGTCGTTTTTCTCTAAAGAACACATCTTTTTCAAAATGTGCAAAAGGACATGGGCAAATCGGCCCAATGACTTTTTACGATCTATGGTTCTGAATTAGGTATAGAATCATAGATCTCAACGCGGCAAGCATTTTGGTGCTATTTTTTATGTAGATTTGATCTCATATTATGGAACAAATGAGAAGTATGAGTTGTTAGAGTCCTACGTCTGACGCTCTCTCCTCATAAGTCCGTGCATAT